CCGTGAGACTCCTATCTCCAATAAACCACCAGAAAACCGGAAGTGGCGCTGTAGCTCAAGTGGTAGAGCGCTCACCTTGAGCTGAAGAGCTGAGGGACAGCGCCCAGGCCCAGAGTTCAAGCCCCACGGCCAACCAAAAAAAAAAAGAATTTCACAGACTTTCCTGTCCAGACTGGCTTTGGGGCATGATCCCAAATCTCAGCCTCTAAAGAAACTGGGATTACAAGCCTATTACCCAGCCTGAGAATTTAACTCTAGGGTTGGAATTGTTGAAGATCTATCCTTTTTCTTTTTTTAATTACCGAGTATTTGCTTTTACATGTACACATAGATAATAACTCCTATGAAGAGTTATGAGAGATAATCAACAGATACTAAGTGTAAAGCTTTGATTTAAAAAAAATAGCTACCTCAGTTAGACTGTAAGCCCCTTAAGGCCAGGAGCCGGGCCTGCCTGGTCCAGCTGTGGGAAGCATATTCGCAGGTGTTCCAGAGATGGGCATATCAAGGCTGAGAACCCTAGAACCCTGTCAGTTTATGAGCGGTGCCCGCGACAGAATGCAGTCAGCTATTAGTATGGAAGGTGAGAAAACCCTGCAGAGCATACAGTGACTTATGCATTGTGTGTTCAGCCTGTGGGTTCATGAGCACCCACAACATTTGAGCTCACAACTGTGGAAATTGCCAGTGAGAAAGCTATAGCTAACAACACATCTAAATAAAGTGATTTTAAACAAACAAACAGTGGGGTGCTGGGAAGGTGGCTCAGTGGTAGAGCACTTGCCTTGCATGCATGAGGCCCTGGGTTCGATTCCTCAGCACCACATAACCAGAAAAAAAAAAAAACGGAAGTGGCACTATGGTTCAAGTGGTAGAGCGCTAGCCTTGAGCTGAAGAGCTGAGGGACAGCGCCCAGGCCCAGAGTTCAGGCCCATGACTGGACCCCCCCGCAAAAAAACAGCGAAGATGGTGGAGCAGTTCCCAATCTCCAGTCTCACATTTGGAGATGTGGCCTCCCCTGTGCCAGCTGTTCACAAGCAGTCCCGAGGACCCGTGGTGTGCTGACAAGCAGGATACCTGCCACTGTCCCTTCTCAATGCAGGGAGGAGAGCAGGGTAGACGAGCCAGGAAGAGCCTCACCAAGCATGCTGACCACAAGATGGCCTGGGCATGGACTCCTGGGGGCCAGCAGGGCTCTATGCTGCAGTTTGGCCTTGACACTCACAGCGGAGAAATCTATAGACCTCATTTTATTCTGTACTTCTGTAATGGAGATTCTGAGTCATGAAGAAAAGTTGAACTATTTTATCTAGAAGGCTGAAGTGTGGTTATCAGTTGCTGCAGGACAACCTCCCTCCCCTCCCCCCCCAAAACTAGGCAGTAGCATTTATGGCCTCTTGAGATTCTGGGTGGCCTGGGCTCTCTGGGATGTGGATTGGGAGCTCAGCCTGGTGGTGGCTGGGTCTGCATCATCCGAAGGCTGGATGGGCTGGAGCCTCTGAGAGAGCTCACTCATGAGCTTGGGTTGAGGTGTGAGCCAACTGTCCACACCTGGGGCTCAGAATTCCGGAATGGAAACTGGTTTAGACGCTGTGTTGAGCACAGAGGGCCTTGGAAGTGACTCAGAGGCCTGTCGCTGTCTTCTCTAGGTCACAGTGAGTCTGTCACTGGCCCTCAGGCTCACTGTCCCATTGGCGTAGTGGCAACACTTCCTTGCCATCTTTCATACGCCCACAGTTCAGTGGGTAAAAACATGATGTGGGACTGAGAATCAACTGGGCCTTAGGGCTCTAGAAGGAGAACTGTGCGGAAGGGCTCTCTAGATGGCCCCAAGGTTCCAAGTGGTCACTACGTGGTTGACACAACACAAGCTTTTGCTCTAAAGAGCATGAGATCGTTTACTCTGAGCCAGATGTGAGTGACTGGGCCTGGGAATACAGGTCAGGTCACTCTGAGTGACAGGTTCCACTGTGGAAAGGGTCACATGAGCTTTTATAGTCCAGAACAAGAGAAAGTTGTGAAGGAATGCACTTTCCCAAATGCAATGATGCAGGGATCAGATTAGAAAGGTCACAGCAAAGTGGGCGATCTCTTCTGTCGGGTTCACAGGTTTTAACATTCTTGGCTGTAGGGTTGGTGGGAGCTAGGGGCCTGCTGAGTGTACCAGTACATTCCAAGAGTTTTACCTAACAGTCCAAAAGATGTTACATCAGATAAGGTGATTGGTAAGTGGCTATTAAGGACACTAAAGATAACCTAAGATAATTCTGATGCCAATATTCTTTTTCTCCACAATGGTGATGTTCCAGTCAGTCAATCTGCAAGATTTCTAATATAGATAAGCTTTTTTAGAGAAATCTAGTCACCTTAATTCCAAGATTGTTACACTCAGGGAGTAGTTTAAGTTAACAGCAACATATGTAGTAAAAATATTATACTTGTGGAAGGTGGCTGGTCCCTGGGCTTGAACTCAGGACCACTAGCTTGATGGCCTTTCTTGCTTGCAGCTGATACTCTGCCATACTCCAGCCATTTTTTGCTGTTTAATTGGAGATAGAGTCTCACAGACTTTCTGCCCAGTCTGGCTTTGAACTGGGATCCACCTTGGCACTCAGCTAGCTGTATTTTTTTTTCAGTCATGGGCTTGGGCACTGTCCCTGAGCTCTTTTGCTTTAGGCTAGCACCCTACCACTTTGAGCCACAGCACCACTTTAGTTTATTGGAGGTAAGATTCTCACAGATTTTCCTACCTGGTCTTGTTTTTAACCCCGATCCTCAAATCTCAGCCTCCTAAGTAGTTAGAATTACAGGTGTGAGCCATTAGTGCCAGCCTATTTTTTTTCTTTAACTGGTTAAAATAGAGAGTTCTTAAGAGAACTGAGGGTTATAATTGTGGTTAAATCCACACATAGTTCTAGAATCCTTAGGAGAAATACTAATGAGAAAAAAAGAAAACTTGAATTGGAAGCTCGATTTAAACTTCTGGCAAGCATGCATCTCAGTGCATGCTTGTTGTGGCATGTCAAGCTAATGTTTTCTGCTTCTAGTCCAGGGTCTGGCCTGGCCTGGGCAGGGAAGAGTTACAAAGTAAATCCATAGTAACGTGTTTGTATTGCATACCATTGCGATTCAATTTTAATTGGAACAGTGGCTTTCCGAATGAAAGGTTTTGTGTCAGTAGTGGTACTTGAACTCAGGGTCTCCCTCTCACTTTTTTTTTAAGGCATCAAGGCTGGCACTCTACCACTTCAACCAAACTTCTGTTTCCAACTTTTTGCTGATTAATTAGAACTAAGAATCTCAGAGTGTTTTCTGCCTGACTGACTTCAAACAACAGTCCTCAGATCTCAGCCTCCTGAAGAGGTGTGAGCTACTAGAATCTGGCTCAAAATGTTGTTTTTCTTTTTTTTTTTTTTTTTGTGCCAGTCCTGGGGCTTGAACTCCAGGTCTGGCACTGTTCCTGAGCTTTTGTGTTCAACACTAATTTTCCACCATTTGAGCCATACTTCATTTTCAGCTCTCTCTCTTTTTTGTGAGTAACTGGACATAAGAGTCACATAGACTTTCTTCCTGGGCTGGCTTCAAACCATGATCCTCAGACCTCACCTTTCTGAGTAGCTAGGATTACAAGTGTGAGCCACTGGTGCCCAGCTCAAAATGAACTTTTAAAAACTCTACCTTCATAGTTATTTAAACCCCCCTGCTTCTAGCTTTGTCATATGTGATAAAAGTTCTAGCCTGTTCTTTCTCCTGCCCTTACAATATCCATATGTGTGTGTCCAGTGCCTACGTTTATTAACCTGAGCCCTAGCAAATGCTAGCCCTAAAAAAGCTTATTGGAGCAGTCACTTAATCAGAGGAGAGTGCTTTTCTTCCTCCTGCCCCTTGAGGGAGCAGCCCCCAAGCTCTCTCCTCTAGCCACATGAAGCTGCGGTGAGGCAAGAGCATAGTGCAAGCACATTGTGAACTGTGTTTTGCCATTATGAGTTTTCTTCCTTTTTCATTTCCACTTGGCACATGTGCAAAAGAGGCATGGACTGCATTGCTTTTGTTCTGTTCTTATCAGTTGCTGGTGATTGTAGGGGAGACCACCTACCTGATCTGTGGGGGAGGCACCCCTGGGTAAACCTGCCCTTCTTCCGGCAGTCCTCTCTTCCTTGAGATAGAAATCGTCTTTTGTTAGCTTTTGGATCTCCCATGTTGATGTCTCCAGAAATAAGCTGAAGACTTTTGATCTAGCTAAACCAAGACAATTAGCAAAAGCCACCTATAACCTCAGGTGAAAAGAAATACAGATTATCTTCCTTTACTTCCTAAACTGGCACAAGAAGAAGTAAAATGAAGGTTTCTTAAGTGCTACCCAGTAATAAAGCTGGGGATTTCTGAAGAGACTGTGGTATAGTGCTGGAAGGGCACCCACCGGCCTTCAGAGCTTCCCTTTATAAACTCCTGGTCCCTTTTGTCTTGGGATTAGGTGCTCACGTGACTAGTCGGAATACAATGCGCCTCTCCCGGCAGCTTTCCCTTTCACAGTGACCCAGATGTGAGGGGCTGTGGGAGAGGTCAGCCGGCCAGCCATCCTTTTCCAAACTGGCCAGGAGAAAGTTACAGCCAACCTGCCTTTGAGAGCCTTGTATTCCTGACTGCGTGACAGCAGCAAGGAGAGACAGTCGCTTGTTAGCAGAAAAACAAGAGCATTTGCTGATCTCACATCCTTTCTCCATGTGTTTTCTAGTGTGGATTATTGACAGTCATGGAGCACTGAAGAATGCTTGAATGCTGAAGTGGGCCAGCAAGGCAACGAGGGACAGATGACACTGGCTTGAGGAAGTAACTTGGTGCACCCTCAGAGTCCTCCATTGGGAGGTCCAGCTGTGTGTGCACAAGCACACACACCCAGGTGTCCTCCCCTGTCAGCAATGGGCTGTTGAAAGGAGAAACTTGATCCCTAACTGCCCTGTGGAGATGGAGGATGAAGAACTGGAGTGTCCAAACTCCTCCTCAGAAAAGCGCTATTTTCCCGAGTCCCTGGACTCCAGTGATGGGGATGAGGAGGTGGTTCTGGCCTGTGAGGACCTGGAAGTGAACCCTTTTGACGGACTACCATACTCATCACGCTATTACAAACTTCTCAAAGAAAGAGAAGACCTCCCAATATGGAAAGAAAAATACTCCTTTATGGAGAATCTGCTGCAAAATCAAATTGTGATTATTTCAGGAGATGCCAAATGTGGCAAGAGCTCTCAGGTGAGTAAAAAAAAGAATCCTTTTTTGTAGTTCTGGTCCTGGGGCTTGAACTCAGGACCTGAGCATTGCTTGCTCAACGATAATGCTCTACCACATGAAGCCTCAGCTCCACTTCCCGGTTTTTTTTTTTTGGGGGGGGGGAGGAGTTTCTTATGGCGGTTAATTGGATATGGGGGTCTCACAGACTTGCTACCTGGGCTGCTTTGAACTATGATCCTCAGATATCAACCTCCTGAACAGCTAGGATTATAGGCATGAGCCACCAGTGTCTGGCTAGCTACAAAAACCTTTTGCTTTATGTGTTACGATGCTTTTTATTACTTAGGTAATTTAACACAACACAGCCTAGGGTTCTATTTTTATTAATAATACCCAAATCAATTGACAGCTGAATAACACCTAATACTTACATGGATATTATGTTTAGTGAATCACAGAATTTCCTCTAGAATAATTTACTTCTGTATACATATTGTACCAAAAGATGTAATTGGTGCTATTTTCCCACCAGCAATTTGGGGATTAACCTTTATGTTTACACATCAGTGGTCTGGTAGTCAACATGTTAGATAGCTAATGAATACTTACTTCAAATTTGTTGTTGTATTTAGACTTCAGGATTTGACTCAAGTCAGATCTATGTCAGATCTATGTTTTAGTCTTAAGATGAAGATTCTTAAAATGTAAGAAATAAGGCTGGGAATGTAGTTTAGTTGTAGAGTGCTTGCCTAGCATGCATGAAGCCCTGGGTTCTATTCCTTAGTACCACATAAACAGGAAAAGCTAGAAGTGGCACTGTAGCTCAAATGGTGGAGTACTAGCCTTGAGCAAAAGAAACAGTGATAGTGCCCAGGCTCTGAGTTCAAGCCCCAGGACTGGCAAAAGGAAAAAAAAAGAAAAAGATAAGAAATAGAGCAGACCAGCTCTGAAAGGACCTCATCATTTTCACATGGCAGAGCTGGCCCAGGGGATTTGATCACTTGTCTCATATCACATGATTTCCAAATTGGGACAAAAAAAGAATACTTTTCACTGTATACTGATAATTCCAAGTTGATTGTTATCTTTGGCACTTTCTTGTAATTTGAAGAAAGAGGAGGGAGGGTGGGACAGTGTTTTAATAATCTGATACCAAGGATTTGTCATGATCTGTTACTTGTTCTGATGAGTTACTGCTATAATGATTGATTTTAGTTCACTATAAGACTTAAATGAGTATGATTTTTCTGATTTATGTGGACAAAGTAGCAATTTAAAAAAAATTTCGGGATACATGTATATGTGTGTGTATATGTGTGTATATGTGTTTATTTTTGTTTTTGTTTTAATGCTGGGGAAGCAAGCCTAAGAATTTGTAGAGGGTAAGCAATCCTCTGCCACTGAGCTATATCCCCAGCTTTAAGTTTTTGTTTTGTGATAATCCAGACTTTTAAAAAGTTGTAATAACAATACAGAGATTTATGTCCTTCACCTGGATTTCTTATGAAATATTTAACCACACTTGATTTTTTTGTCTTCTTCCCTATCCTTGTTCCACACTTATGAATACACATATTTATTCCACACCTTTTAAGAATAAATTGATGTTGCTGTATGTCATATATACCTATATTCCCAGCCTTTAGAAGACTGAGGCAGAAGGAATGTGAGTTTGAGACTAGCCTGGGCTACATATGTGAGAAAAACTGTCTTTTCTAACAAACTGTGTTGCTTAAAAGTTCCTGCTTTGGCCTGGTGCCTCGGCTTTTTGTTCAGAAAAACAACAGCTGCTTTGGGATAAGGAAGGATCTTTGAAATATAAGTTTTTTGACTTAAACTGATTTCTTTTAAAGGTGGAATTAAGACACACTTCAGATTGTTAAAGAAATAGCTTGGGGGTTCCATGATATTTTGAGATTACTTGTATACTGTTAATCTTATTTCAAAGTCACATTATATAAATATAGTTTACCCTATTCAAACTAGCCAGTCATGAGCAGACTGTTAACCTGAGCTCAGCCAATTGGAATGGAGGAGCGGGGCCAGCTGTATTAGGGATAAATAGGGGAGCAGCCTGTCAGTGCTTGCTTGCTGGATTTTTGGCTGATGGCACACCCTTCTGCAGAAGTCAATTTTGCCTGGCAGAGACAGTTCTTTTTTTAATTTTTATTTTATTTATTTATTTTGTCAGTCATGGGGCTTCAACTCTGGGCCTGGGCACTGTCCCTCAGCTCTTTAGATCAAGGCTAGTGCTCTACCACTTGAGCCACAGCACTACTTCCGGTTTTCTGAGTGGTTCATTAGGAGATAAGAGTCTCATGGGGGGGGGGCGCGGGGGAGGATAGGATGGGAAGGGGAAACAAAGAGGAGGCTACAATGCTTGATAAGAAATGTATTCATTATCTTGCCCATGTAATTGTAACCCCTCTGTACAATATTTTCACAATAATAAAAAAATATTAAAAAAAAAAAAGAGTCTCATGACCTTTCCTGCCCGGGCTGGCTTTGAACCACAATCCTCAGATCTCAGCCTCCTAAGTAGCTAGGATTACAGGCATGGTTCTCAGTCTCCTGAGTAGCCAAGACCATAGGCATGAGGCACTGGTGCCTGGCAGTTCTTTATTTTTATGTGTATTGTTGTGATTCTAGGGGTTCTTGGAGAACAAACTTATAACACATGGCAAGACCCTGTCTCAAACACACACACACACTCACACACACACACACATACACACGAAAAACAAACATAGAGACAAAGAAATGGTTAGAATGATTATGTGATGTCTTTTGCCCCATATATTTCAATGAATGTCAAAAACAGTGAAATGCTATATATATATATATATATATATATATATATATATATATAAAACATTAAATATTTTATATAATCATCAAAATAGGAAATGCAAATGTTGGTATCTTATTATCTAATGTCTACCCAATTACATTTAATCAATCTTACATAATTTTGATAGAATACATTTTCTTGTTGGAAATCAGTCCAAGACTACATTATATTTCATTGTCACGGTGGCTTATTCCTGTAATCTCAGCTACTCAGAAAGCTGAGATCTGAGGATTGAGATTTGAAGCCAGCCTAGAGAAACAAATCTGTGAAACTTTGATCTCCAGTTAGCCAGCAAAAAGCCATAAATATGTATATGGCACCTGTGGTAGAGCATTAGCCTTGAGCACAAAACTCTGGGGCCACACCCAGGCCCAGAGTTCAAACCTGAAGACCAAAAACAAAAACAAACAAACAAAAAAGAACTCTGACTGTGAAGCAGGCTGTCGTCATACCCTGACCTGCCAGCGCTTCTGTGACTCCTTCACCTTTTAAATACTACATTGGTGGTAGCCACATGGTGGTTTGTCTAATTCTGTCATGCCTTCTTCATTTATTATTTGGAATTCTTCGGTAAGGCTCAGCATTCTCTTCATTATTATTTATTTATTCAGCTATTCATATCCATGTAGACTCATTCTGTGAATTATAATTTTTAATAGCCCATTAATTTTGTTGTTTGAGTTGTCCTGGATGTGGCTAGTGGACCTCCTCAAACGATGTCTTTGTCCCTCTGTCTTGTCTGCATGAGTTTTGAGCTCTTTAGCTATTCTTCCAGGTTCATCCAGTGTGTTTCCTGTCCCAGTCATTTTTCTCAAGGATTCTTGTTCCTTTTAGCAGCAAATTGCATTTAGAACCAGGATGGCTGCAGTAGTTGTGCCTCTTGAATGAGGAACTATGTATGAGAGTACACCTACTTGCACACTTATCTGTCCATCTGTCTACATAGCTGTTTGTCTTTTTGTCTCTCTAGTACTTTTATTTCCCTCTGTCTTCCTCAGTTTCTCTCTTTTTATTGTTTTCTACCTCCTCATATTTCTATTCATTTATCTCTCATCCTTCCTTTTCCTTGTTAGTAAATGTTCATACTGATGCCTCCAACACCAGTTCAGCACCACAGGGTTCACTGCAGTCTTCTGTTTCCATTTTTGTAAATTCTTTATGAGAAACATGGCTGTCATTGTTTAGAATATCCTTACTTACTATGACTCTTAGTCATAGTTTCAAAATTGCTAACTCATACTAGTTGTTGTTGCTGTTGTTGTTTTCTTGTGCCTGTCCTAGGGCTTGAACTCAGGGCCTGGGCTCTATCCCTAAGCTCTTTCGCTCAAGGCTAGTGTTCTACCACTTGAGCCATAGCTCCACTTCGGGCATTTTTGGTGGTTAATTAGAGATAAAAGTCTCATGGATTCTTTTGCTCAGGCTGACTTCCAACTATGATCCTCATATCTCAGCCTCCTGAGTAGCTAGGATTCTAGTTATAAGCTACTAGTCTGGCTTCATACTAGATTTTTTTTCCTTGTTGGTTGTGGGGCTTGAACTCAGGGCCAGGGTGCTGTTCTTGAGCTCTTTCACTCCAGGATAGTGCTCTACCTCTTTGAGCCACAGCACCACTTCCAGTTCTTGAGTGGTTAGTTGGAGATAAGAGTCTTACAGGGATTTTTCTGCCTGGGCTGGCTTTGAACCTCGATCCTCAGATCTCAGCCCTCTGAGTAGTTAGGATCACAGGTATGAACCACCAGTGCTCAGCAGGCTTCATACCAGTTTGTGTATACACACACACACACACACACACACACATACACAGAGACATATACACAAACACATACATATATTTGAGTTTTCTATAGGAATTTGTATTCTTTTAGAATTAGAGTTTATAATATATTAATGCTTAGCTATGGTTTCTGTTATTTTTATCATTAGGCCATTTTAGTGATTCATGTTTATTTTCTGTTTAAGGGGAAGGCAGTAAGTACCTTTAGTTTCAGAGAAGTCAATAATGTACTCAAGTGATGAAGGAAAAAAACTGTTCATTGATTTCTTAATTCAGGAAACCATTTGATTTTTTAAAAATATTTGTCTCTTTCAGGAGTCTGTACTTTCTTGTTCCTCTGTTTTAAGCATTTCAAAGAAAAGCCAGTCTTCAGAGTGAATCCAAAGATCTTAAACC